GGAGGTCTCCAGCGCCCCCTGCTTTCAGAACCGTTTCACTGCAACTGCTGCAAAATCATAACAATAATAATCCTTTAGAGTATTTTATGCATGCGTGTGCTGTATGGTGGAAACTACTTTTAAAAATGTTTTATTTTTATTTTAGATATATTTACATATTTTATATTGTATATGCAGGGTCTGAACCTCCCCACATTCTTAGCAGCTTTGCTGTTTTTTTACGGTTTTATTTTTTCAATCGAACGATTCATTTCACACAAGCTTCTGGTCCCTGTGCTTATGACTTTGGATGCATTTTTAGATGTTGTTGGAATTTGAATCACAATGTATTTGATGTAGCACAGCAGTAACTTGCAGATTCTAAGTTGCCACACTTGCACATCAGACTCACACAAAGAACTTCGTATAGTTTTGTGTGATAGTAGACGATTCAGTCAACACCCATGAATCTGTAATTCATTCCCTACAGATACTGTGGAGTTGTGCAGAATCAGGAGGGCCATGATTTCTGCTCAAAAACGCTTTTTTAGCTAGAAAAAGCAGCCAGAATAGAGGGCAGGTCACACTTTCTCCAAATGGTTACTGAACCCAAACCCACTCTTAACCCCAAGCCCAGAACAAAACCCAGCAAACACATACACACATAGTGTTTATATGCACTTAATAATCTTATCATTATCTGATTTCTGCAGTTATCTGATTATTAAATGGTTGTGTAAACACACACTCTGATTTCTAAAATCAGATTAAGGTCTATAAATCTGATTAGTAAATCTGATAAAGAGGCTGGATTTGAGCTCAGTAATGGGGTTTTTCAGTGCAGGTGAACTCTCACTCTGATTTCTTTCGTTTCTCTCAGTCTGAGCATGTGTGAAAACAGAGTGCTGTACTGGAAACAGCGAGCAGCGTTTAACACCCGCGAGACGCAGCACAGCACTTTCGGAGCGACGCTGAAACCAAATACAACCTCAAAATCAAGGATTTAAATGTTCTTCATCTTCTAAATTATGCATAATCATGTTTTTCTACTAAAATGACTCAATGTTTAAAAAAAGCCACTCGTGACATTTGAGTTTTACATTTTGTTTACGTCACGTCTTATTCTGCATGTTCATTTGCCGGTTGCAGTCTAAACCTGGATTAATCACAGCCTGAGTATCTAAACCTGGATTAATCACAGCCTGAGTATCTAAACCTGGATTAATTACAGTCTGAGTATCTAAACCTGGATTAATCACAGCCTGATTACCTAAACCTGGATTAATCACAGACTGAGTATCTAAACCTGGATTAATTACAGCCCGATTACCTAAACCTGGATTAATCACAGTCCAAGAATCTAAACCTGGATTAATCACAGTCCAAGAATCTAAACCTGGATTAATTACAGCCTGATTACCTAAACCTGAATTAATCACAGTCCAAGTATCTAAACCTGGATTAATTACAGCCTGAGTATCTAAACCTGGATCAATCACAGTCCAATTATCTAAACCTGGATTAATTACAGCCTGATTACCTAAACCTGGATTAATTACAGCCCGCTTACCTAAACCTGGATTAATTACAGCCTGAGTATCTAAACCTGGATTAATCACAGCCTGAGTATCTAAACCTGGATTAATTACAGTCCAAGAATCTAAACCTGGATTAATTACAGCCTGATTACCTAAACCTGGATTAATTACAGCCTGATTACCTAAACCTGGATTAATCACAGTCCAAGTATCTAAACCTGGATTAATCACAGCCTGAGTATCTAAACCTGGATTAATTACAGCCTGATTACCTAAACCTGGATTAATCACAGTCTGAGTATCAATGGGCTACTTTTTCTACTGATACCTTGCGATATAAAGTGTAGCACCATGAAAAGTGGCCCTCAGAAACCCACATCCCAAAACTTTCTGAAAAATATTTCAATTCAGTGAAGTCAAAAATTTAAAAAAAGTAACAAATGCACCAATTTTGAAATCACTCCCCAGATTTCTATCAGGGAGAATCACTCCAACTGCAGCAACACCACTGCATGACTCAATAGCCGGAACCGATTCTCATTAGACAATCTTGCATCTAGCGAGTGTCTGTTGTGAGCGACAGAACGTAAGATCACTCAGCCTGTCACGACTCCCTTCGGTTCTGAGGTCTCTTTGGACTCCTGGGGGGTCACGTGACTCCTGCCTCACTCTCGTGCTCCAATCAGAGCTCTAACTCTCCAGAGTACTGATCAAGTCCAACTCTGGTTCGTTGATTAGTTTGGTCTAAAGCCCAGGCTTGTAGGACCGGTTCTTTCCGAGGTATTGCTTCTGTCCCAGGAGCTGCTGAGCGTTTATATCTGTTTGTGTTATTCTGGTTCTGACATTTTTGCCCCTGTTTTTGATTTGACTTTTGCTTGACCCTTTTCGAATTGTTCGCTTGGTTATTTTTGTGTTTTTTGCCCTTTTTGGATCTGACCTACGCCTGTTTATTGACTTCGATTTGTGTTTTCATCAGAAAAGCCTCCCGTTCCATTTTACCCGCGAGCGTCTGCGTCATTCTGTCGTGTTACACGGACAAGTCTGAAATAAAAAATCGGGCACTCTGCATTAGATGCTTAATAAATATTTTATTGAAAAAAGTCACAAAGAGGCACAGAAGAGATTGTTCAGTGCATGAGAAACAGCAGCATCAGAGAGAGAGAGAGCCAAACGGCTCTCAGACAGACCGGAGTCTCCGGGCCTCATCTGTGAAATCTTCATTTTTCATATTAATAAGTTTACACAGCAGCAATAACTCATTTCATTAAAGCGATACATCAAATATGCAGTTCCTCCTCCTTTACCCAAAGTGTCATAGATCAGCCAAAACGTTTGGTGTCTGCATTTTGCTTCTTTACTTATAAAATGTTTTAAAAAAGCATAAAAATGGGAGAAAAAAAAATGTTTCCTGTACTTTAGTCCATGTTTACAGACAACGGTGTCAGAAAGCTCAGAATTAAGTCTATTAGAGATGAATAACTGAATAAATAAACACTCTTAATGACACAAACTGCTCTGCATCGAGTGGAGATCTGGGCGCTGAGTCAGCGTCCGTGCGTGAAATCAAGCGCCAGCCTACCGGCACCTCATTTACATATCATTTATATTAAGCACACGCGAATTCATGCATATATTTTGGTATGGAGCCAATAAAACAACAGCAGCTCATGAGCCAACAGCTGCGCTCGTAGGGCAGAGTTTGGGTGGAGCTGTGAGTGCGCTGCTCCCCCTAGTGACCAAACTTATGTGCATAAATTATTAGTATGTGCATAAATTATTAGTATTATTGTTATTTTCTATTTTTACTCTTGTTATTGATATTCTAGATGATACTGATAACAGTTTTGGTTAGCTAACCCAAATCAAGCATTCTTTTTCAGGTTTTGTGAAACTCTTATGCTCAAATTTACACTATCCTACCAGTTTGATCGTCCTGATACGCCAAAGATGAAACTGATGAATAACAAAAACTATTGGTGAAATTTATTTGGCTCAGAATTCATTATATGGAACTTGGATGGATAAAGGACATTCTGTGTGATGATTTAGGCCCTCGGCTAACTGGAGGGGTCCAAAATTTCATTACTTGTTAGCCTTGTAGTTTAAAACTGAAGAAGCAAACTTTAGATGCCAATCAGTCTTGGCTGACCGACTACACTTGAAGTAAAGGTGAAAAAACTGTAAGTTTGATTTTGTGCCTATAAATTATCGCTTTCATATTCACCTGTTGTAAAAAATGCGAAGTATGCCTGCTTTCATGTCTCAGAAGCCGCTCTGCTGTACTTGGCATGCAGTAAAATGTAATCGAGGTATATCTATCCTGATATTAAGTTGTGACAATGTCTTCTTGCTGTTCTATGCTCCTGTTACCGTTTACAGAGCCTGTAATTAGTCATTACCCTTTACTAATGAAATCAGTGCCGTGTCTAAAACTGCATTTGCTTCAAACAGCATGCTCTGTGACACTGAGCTCGGTCAGCTCATCTGTCCACAACAGCAGCCTGACCGTCTGACTGGCCTGATAGTTTTCTCCATGTTTAGCCACAGTGTCCAGTGTGTAGGTGTGTTTAATTTTAATATGGCCATTCAGAGTGGGCAACATTGACTTTCTTTCTTTTCTAACCACAGTTTCTTTAATCCAGCCTGGTGTTTGGTGTTGGACTGGTGTGGAGTCGGATTCTACGCTTGATGAACTGAATGTTTTGATGGATTTGTAAACTCACAACAAAGTGCAGCCAAATGAATGATGTCCTGTATGAATCATTAATCTGTCAGCACTCAGTTAAGGCACCTTAGTGACAGTCTGTGGTCTGACTGAGTGAGTGTTATGGCATAAATGAGTTCTGAGGCATCACTTTATTAGAAACAGCCCAGAACATCCACTCACTGATGGTGAATTAGAAGGTAGGTGTTTGCAATAAAATGGGCAGGGAATGGACATACAGGGTAGGTGTTTCCAATAAAGTGGCCAGTGAGCGGAAGCACAAGGTAGGTGTTTCCAATAAAGCGGCCAGGGAGCAAAAATACAAGATAGGTGTTTCCAATAAAGTGGCCAGGGAGTGGAAATACAAGGTAGGGGTTTCCAATAAAATGGCCAGTCAGTGGAAGTACAAGGTAGATGTTTCCAATAAAGTGGCCAGGGAGTGGAAATACAAGGTAGATGTTTCCAATAAAGTGGCCAGGGAGTGGAAGTACAGGGTAGGTGTTTCCAATAAAGTGGCCAGTGAGTGGAAGCACAAGGTAGGTGTTTCTAATAAAGTGGCCAGTGAGTGGAAGCACAAGGTAGGTGTTTCTAATAACATGGCCAGTGAGTGGAAGCACAAGGTAGGTGTTTCCAATAAAGTGGCCAGGGAGCAAAAATACAAGGTAGGTGTTTCCAATAAAGTGGCCAGGGAGTGGAAATACAAGGTAGGTGTTTCCAATAAAGTGTCCAGGGAGTGGAAGTACAGGGCCGGTGTTTCTAATAAAGTGGCCAGTTAGTATAAATACAAGGTAGGTGTTTCAAATAAAGTGGCCAGTGAGTGGAAATACAAGGTAGATGTTTCCAATAAAGTGGCCAGGGAGTGGAAATACAAGGTAGGTGTTTGCAATAAAATGGGCAGGAAGTGGAAGTACAGGGCAGGTATTTCTAATAAAGTGGCCAGTGAGTGGAAATATAAGGTAGGTGTTTCTAATAAAATGGCCAGTGGAAGTACAATGTTGGTAATTCTAATAAAGTGGCAATCCCATTACGTGACCAGACTGGAGCATATGTTTGAGTGTCTGTGTGTGTGAGTTATGTGATGATGGTGAATTTCTGTGGGGTCTGACTGGATGACAGAGAGAAAGGGTTACTCCTCATATCCACACTGCGCAAAGCCGGCATCTCACACAGACGCTCCCACGGCAACTCTGAGAGAGAGGGAGGGAGAGAGAGAGAGAGAGAGAGAGAAAGAGACAGAGAGACAGACAGAGAGAGGTAAAAATGAGATCATTCATTTTCAGAAATGTGAATAGAAAAACATATAAACATAATTAAAAACAACATTAAAAACATAATGAAAACTTGATTAAAACAATAAAGAGAAAATCATTAAATGAAAAAAAATTAATTAGAAATTAAATTACAATAGTTAAATAATCAATTTATTCACTTTATTAATTAATCAGTGTGAAGCTGTAAATAAACCGAAGAAATGTGAGATGTTCAGAAAGATGAACAGACAATCGTGAATGACTGAGACATCTGAGAACATCGTGAATGAGGTTCTAATAACATTAACATCCAGCACTTACAACTCCTGTTTATTTACAGAATTTAACACATTGGATTAAAATTAAACACAAAATGTGGTGTGTGCAAAAGTTAGGGCTCTGAAAACGAGTTAACACATCCTCCACAGAGAACACAGTCAAATAAGATATTTTCCTGCTAATTTTAGGGAACAATGTTCATTTATTTGCTGAGTTTAACACACAGGAAAAAACTTAAACATACAATCTGTGCTAGAACTTCAGCACAGGCCACATTTTATGTTTTATTTTTCCCCAGTATGTTAAGTTCAGTAAATAAACAGTAACTGTACATGAAACGTGTGGAATAAAATCAACAAATTAATCATATATATATATACATACCCAACCCGCCAGGCATAACATTCTGACCACCTCCTTGTTTCTACACTCATTGTCCACTTTATCAGCTCCACTTACTATATAGGTGCACTTTGTAGTTCTACAGTTACAGACTGTAGTCCATCTGTTTCTCTGATACTTCGTTAGCCCCCTTTTACCCTGTTCTTCAGTGGTCAGGACCCCCATGGACCCTCACAGAGCAGGTACTATTTGGGTGGTGGATCATTCTCAGCACTGCAGTAACACTGACGTGGTGGTGGTGTGTTAGTGTGTGTTGTGCTGGTCTGAGTAGATCAGACACAGCAGTGCTGCTGGAGTTTTTAAACACCTCAGTGTCACTGCTGGACTGAGAATAGTCCACCAACCAAAAATATCCAGCCAACAGCGTCCTGAGGGCAGCGTCCTGTGACCACTGATGAAGGACTAGAGGATGACCAACACAAACTGTGCAGCAGCAGATGAGCTATCGTCTCTGACTTTACATCTACAAGGTGGACTGACAAGGTAGGAGTGTCTAATAGAGTGGACAGTGAGTGGACACAGTGTTTAAAAACTTAAGCAGCACTGCTGTGTCTGATCCACTCAGACCAGCACAGAGAAGGAAAAAATGTCTGTAACTTTTAATGGACGTTAATGGAGAAACAGTTAATTCCAAGTACTTCTGGACCATTTCTGTTCGTCCATTCACCATGAAATTTTGACACAATGTAAATGGCAGATGATTTTAAACTGTATCAAAAAATGAAAAATGGACAAAAATGGAACAAGTTTTGTCCCGACAGTAATAACATATATACCAGTCATTCTCCATTTGGAGTGGGAATTCAGGTGGATACATAAAAAAATACATTTCTTTAATCCCAAAGCTAAATAATCTTAATATGTCCATTAATATCTCCTATTATCATATATGCAGAAAGGAGAGCTTAATTCAAACATATTTTACAGTCACTGGTGTTGTATGAATATGGTGTAACACCAGTGACGGTGACTCCAGTGACATTCAGGTTAAAACTGAGGATTTTGTTAATTGGCTAACTCATTGGCTGATCAGGTGACCTTGAGCGACTGTTTAAAATCAGTAATAAAAATTATATTTGGCATAATTTTGACAAAATTTTAATGATCCAGCTATTAAAGCACAAAACACCAGTGACACATAGACAGTCTGAGCTGCCTGATGAACAAAATTATTAATAAATTAATAAAATATAGTGAGCCAGTGTGACTCGCCTTCTCTTGCCTTGAGCTGCTTCCTCTCTGATGAGCCTCGACCCAAAGAAGCAGCTTAATAGAGCTGAAAATACTGTGTTAAAATGTAAAATAAGAGTCCTGATAACACCAGTGACCACAATCTCTGTGACAAACGAATTTTTAACATAAAATACATATTTTTAAATGTAGTATACTGTTAATGATATAAAGAGTAAACATGAATCTGTTTTATAAAATTCTTCAGTTAAACCTCTTCAAAATTTTGTTTTATATTAAAAATGGTTTGTTAAATGCTGACAGTTGGTTTTGTGCCAAATTGTTGTACAGATGCAGAGCGACTATGAAACAGGATAAAAAAAAGAAAAATCAGAGAATCATGAGGGAAAAGTGTTATTTAGTCTTAGTCGACTGTGTAAATGTACATACTGACTTTTGGAGCTGTGTCTGATATTTTAAGCATTTTTTTAGCCCTGAAACCTTTGTGACACAGTTTCCCCTCCAAATGGAGAACGACAAAAAAACAAAAATCCTTCTCCGTGTAGGTTTGTTGAACTGCCCGCTACCGAAATGTGAAAAACTGTGTTTGTGTGCATCAGAGAGAAAAACCCAATCGATCTCTGCAGAAGAACCCATGCACTGATGTCGACGTGCTTCATGGAAAGCTTTAATGTGTCCAGGCAGATCCAGACATCCGACACACTAAAGCAGAATAAAGCTAAAGCCCTAATTACAGGTTTGTTCATTAGCGGTCCTTAATGATTAATGTCAGCGAGGGACTGGAGGAGGCAGACCGGAGCCTCGTTATAACGTATCGGCCTGAACCAGACAGAACGCTGGCTTTTCTCTGCAGGAGCAGCTCTTAAAATCATTCCTTTTGTTGTAGGCTGGGTGAGTCATGGCTGGGCTTTATGAGCATTAAGGCTGAGAGACACGTGCACACACAAAGATTCTGATTCATACACGTCTTTCAGCTGGTCAGAGCCGGACAGGCACGGACATTTAAACGCAAGTTAAACTTAAATTATTCCACAGCATTGTGCAGATGGTTTAACTGGGTTTCAATGGAAACCAAGTTTTTTTCTTTTTCCCCAAAAGCAGCCAAAAATTCTAGCATTACTGTTTAACCACATGAACTTGATGACAACCACGCTGGAAAATCATTTTATAGAGCTCAGAGTGTAGATTTCTGTGAGCTACTGTGTTTCCTACACTCGGGGGCAACAAAAGGCTGGTAAAGTTGTGTAATGCTAAAAAAAAATAAATAAAACCACCTGGTGGTTGATTGGCAACAGGTCAGTAACATGATTGGGTATAAAAGAGCGTCTCAGAGAGGCGGAGTCTTTCAGAAGTAAAGATGAGGAGGGGTTCACCACTCTGTGAAAGACTGCTCCATCAAATAGTGCAACAATTCAAGAATAATGTTTCTCAATGTAAAACAGCAAAGAACTTCTGCTTCTCATCATCTACAGTACATAATAACATTAAAGGATTCAGAGAAGTTCTGTATGTAAGGGACCAGGCTGAAAACCAGTATTTACTGGCCGTGATCTTTGGGCCCTCAGGCAGCACTGCATTTAAAAACAGACATGATTCTGTACTGGAAATCACTGCATGGGCTCAGAAAACACTTCTGAAAACCACTGTCTGTGAAAATAGTGTCACTGCATCAACAAATGCAAGTTAAAACTCTAAAACGCAGAGAAGAAATCATATATAAACAGGATCCAGAAATGCTGCCACCTTCTCTGGGCCTGAGCTCATTTAAAATGGACTGAGGGGAAGTGGAAAAGTGTCCGGTGGCCGACGAATCAACATTTGAAATTATTTTTGGAAATCATGGACACTGTGTCCTCCGGGCTAAAGACCACTCAGCTTGTTATCAGTGCACAGTTCAAAAGCCAGTATTCATGATGGTATAGGGGGGAATTAGTGCACATGGCATGGGTGATGTGCTCATCTGTGAAGGCACCATTAATGCTGAATAATATATACATGTTTTGGCAACATATGCTGCCATCCAGACTACGTCTTTTTCAGGGAAGGCCTTGATTATTTCAGAAACCACATTCTGCATGTATTACAGCAGCACTGCTCCATACTAAAAGAGTCCGGGTGCTAAACTGACCTGTCTGCAGTCCAGACATGTCACCACTGAAAACATTTGGTGCATTATAAAATGAAAAATATGACAAACGCTTACAGAGTGTTGTTAAAAGAAGAGGTGATGAAACAGAGTGGTAAACAGGCCCCCGTCCCAACTTTTTTGGAACATGCTGTTGCCAGCAAATTTAAAAATGGCATATATTTTCAAAAAACAATACAATTTCTTAGTTTCAACATCTGATAGGTTGTCTTTGTAGTATTTTCCTTTAAAAATATCTTTTACATGATTTGCACATCATTGCATCCTATTTTTATTTACATTCTGCACAGCGGCCCAACTTTGGAAATGGGGATGTAAATCTCACATACAAACCAGCTAACAAGTCTACAACATGATGGTGCATTGTAGGGTGTCATCCACTGGGTTCAGCTGCTTTTTTAAACTGGTCCATTCAGTGGCGCTGTTACTGACCAACAAATTAAAGCCCAGAGTACCGGCCAACGCTGCCCACTCCAGTAAAAAGCCCATTTCAGAGGATAAAACGAAGTGAATGCACTTTTCATACGCAGCCACTTAAATGTATTTACGCTTTTAACAGCAACTAAACGGCCCACGCATACAACAAACATCTTCTCTGCAACGACATGTTCAGTTAGTTTGCACTGAGAAACCAAAGCCAGAGGAACGTTATACATTTCTTACAGAGTGTAGGCTGATGTAAAGATCAGGGTGGGTGGCGTTAAAAAGCATCTTAAAACTGCACACAGACCACCAAAAAGGTCAACAAGGCTCCTCCAACCAAGCAGTCTGCTCAAAATAGCTGATAATTACAGTTATAAACTATCAAGGGCTTCTCTTCAAACTTTGACCTCTGACAGAACATTACCTATCGACAGATGTTGCCACTTTACTAACTATCATGCTGAGTCTTGCATCAAGAAATCAAGGAACTTGCCTT